AAACACATATTAGTTATATGCTATGGATCAAGAATCTAATCTACTCTTTGAAAAAACTAGGAACTCCAAAATCTGTGCACACAATACAGTAATCAAATATTTGTGAAAGGATAGACACAAGTGAAAATAACTTTCTTCTAAATTCCTATAAATTTATGCCATGTTCATAAAATCTACTTTAGAAAGTAGAGAATAATTCTTTTTGCTCAGTCTGACAATCATACCCATTACCTGAAATGTCTGGATAATAAGCTTACTTTCAGTTTTGGACTTTTAATATAATACATTAAAATTTTTAAAAAATAAAAGTAATATGAATAATTGGAGAATGTAAAGTAAAAATGGAAGTCTCCCCTCTAATACCCCATAATCCCACTCCCCAGTAGTAACCATTGTTAACATGTTTATTCATCTGTACATTTTTTTCTCTACGCACTGTTATGATATGTGACCTTAGAGAGTAGAAATTTCCAAAGTACGGGCAAATTTGACAGCCAAACCTCTGCTATAATTGATGAAAGCTTAAATCAATCTTAAGTTACGCAAAGATTGTTATCAGTATATGCCTCTCCCAGTTGGTCAGTTGTCTGTTGTGCTTCTGTGCCACACTGCTACATGAGAAGCTGGGTACATAGTATATCTCTTAATTCTCTCTCTAGTATTAGGGATGTCCTTAAAAGTAAAAGTCAGAGATTTCAAGGCAACTTAATTGTCAAAGCCTCATTACCACTCTTCATGGGACTTTGCATAATCCTGTCAATAATTCTCAAACTCAAGCGTTATGACACAACGCATGTTGACTATTTCCAGCAGGAAAGTGTTTAACGTGGCCCCTTTCCCAGACAGTTCTCTCATTCTATTTTGTTTATTTTGATGGTTTTTTTGTTTTGTTTTGATACAGAGTTTTTCTCACTCTGTTGCCCAGGCTGGAGCGCAGCGGCCTCAACGCCTCGACCTCCCTGGGCTCAGGTGATCCTCCCACCTCAGCCTCCAGAGTAGCTGGGACTATAGGCATGTGCCACGGTGACTGGCTAATTTTAATTTTTTTTGTAGAGATGGGGTTTTGCCATATTGCCCAAACTCATCTTGAACTCCTAGACTCACATGTGATCTGCCCACCTTGGCCTCCCAAGGTGCTAGGATTACAGGTGTGAGCCACTGCACTCAGCCCTCTCGTTCTATTGAAGTCAGAAAGATCCTCATAATTCTAGCTAGACATGCTGGTAAAAAACAGGTTAATACTTATTCATTCAAGAACACCTGCTTTATGTCAATGAATACTTAAGAATGAATGCCCTGAGAGGCCATCAAAGCCAAACTTCCCTTATGATCAATAAGAAAATTGAGGCCCAGGAAGTGAAGAGACTCTCCCAAAATCACACAGCTCACTGGCTAAACAGAGTTAACTAAGGACCGGGTCTATATTCAGTTTAGGGCTCTACAGCAGGGAAAGAGGCTTCTAGAAAGTAGAAGCGGCCTAAAAAAATTAAACAAAATTTGAAAAAAAAAAAGGACAATTTTTAAAAGATAAATATACATAATATAGCATGATTAGGTGCTTAACAATCCTTTATGGCTTCCAATAAATTACTACTGAGAACAGAAAAATAGAAGAACGATGTACAAGAAATATCAAAGGCAGGATTAACAATTTAGTTTTATTTCTGAGTAAAACACGCTATATCCTCCATGTGAACTGCTTATAAGCTGTTTTAGATCAAAAGACTTTCCAACAGCCAGTACAAAACCCAGTGCTAAATTCTAGAAGTACATGAAGAGCCTGTTGCATTTATTAATCATTTTGGATCAGGCCCTATTCTGTAAAAAAATGCTGATATATTTCTGTTTGAGATACTATATTTTATATTTTTATCTTACAATGTTGTGAAAAAAACTTTTTTGGTAGTTGGAGTCTAGTCTTATGTCAAAGGCATGGGAAAGAAAAGGTTTTTAAAAAATTTGTTTATGGCTGGGCATGGTGGTTCATGTCTAATATACATTAGGAGGCCAAGGCAGGCTGATTATTTAAGCTTAGGAGTTTGAGACCAGTCTGGGCAACATGGTGAAACCTTGTCTCTACAAAAAATAAATAATATAAAAATAGCTGGGTGTGGTGGTGCATGTCTGTAGTTCCAGATACTTGGGAAGCTGATGTGGGAGGATCACTTGAGCCCAGAAGGTAGAGGTTGTGGTGAGCTGAGATTGTGTAATTGCACTCCAGCCTGGGTGACAGAGTGAGACCCTATTTCAAAAAAGAAAAAAAGTTTTTTTATTGGCTGATTTGTAGTTTACTAATCAACATGGCTTCAGCTAAGTGCATTATGAGACTTAGTCTCATGTAACTCAGATATAAATGAAATTAGTGAAGATTTTTGGAGGTAATGCATTATAGTCTTTTATTTTTACTTTATTTTTAGCTTTTTTTTTCCATCTAATCCTTCTATTAGAAAACTCTCCGATGATTTATATTCATTTACCTTGAATTCAAGAAATTGTCAAACCATGTTGGCCAGGCTGGTCTTGAACTCCTGACCTCAGGTGATCTGCCTGCCTCAGCCTCCCAAAGTGCTGGGATTATAAGTGTGAGCCACTGTACCTGGCCTTAGTCTCTGTAATAGACTCATAGAGAGCTATTTCAGTTGCTACACTGAGACAAATATTCCACAAAACTTTATTTAAGAGTGAGATAACTGCTATATTCATTTAATAATATAATAGCCTCCTTAATTCTCCAGTATTTTGATATCTGCTGTTAAGTCATTGGCATCGACAATTGGGTAAGGCTCACTGCAATGAAGTCTTTGTTTTTTGTTTTGTTTTTGTTTTTGAGACAGAGTCTCAGTCTGTTACCCAGGCTGGAGTACAGTGGCAAAATCTTGGCTCACTGCAACCTTCACCTCCTGGGGTTCAAACGATTCTCCTGCCTCAGCCTCCTGAGTAGCTGGGACTACAGGCACATGCCACACACCCAGACTAATTTTTGTATTTTTAGTAGAGACAGGGTTTCACCATGTTGGCCAGGCTGGTCTTGAACTCCTGACCTCAGGTGATCTGCCTGCCTCAGCCTCCCAAAGTGCTGGGATTATAAGTGTGAGCCACTGTACCTGGTCTTAGTCTTTGAAATAGACTCACAGAGAGCTCTTTGATCCTAGCACAATTATTTGGATGTATGGAGTTCACTTACTATCTGCATTAGTAGTTGCTAGGCTTTGGATTCTTTTTTCTTTTTCTTTCAGAGACAGTCTTGCTCCGTTGCCAAGGCTAGAGTACAGTGGCATAATCATGGCTCACTGTAGCCTTTAATTCTTGGGTTCCAGCAATCCTCCTGCCTCAGCCTCCCTAATAGCTGGGATTATGGTCATGAATCACTGCACCCAGCACTGGTTTAGATTTTATATGCTGAAAAGTTTAGTCCTACTGGATCACCAAAGTAATGATCTATATGAATTTTCTATCCAAGGGTTTAGTGAAAAGCATTTCTACAATACACATTGTAACTCAAAGAAGTAAAACTACATTTAAATGTAATTATAAATAGCCTGATGAAATAATGTATAGCATGAGGAAGCAGAAGGATCATGTCCTAAAGGTAAGAATACCTGTTTTTGAGACCTAGATCTGCCAAACACAAATAGATCTTGTGAATTTGAAGATCTCTTAGCATCTCTGTGATTTCTTATTTGATAAAAATGACAGTTATAATAGAACATTATTTTTTTCACATTATTGTGAAGATCAAATGAGCTGTTGTACATCACAAAGCTTTTCAAATTGTGAAGTGCTATACAAAATCAGAAATACCATAATAAAATATTGGTAAAAAAGCAAAGTAGTAGCTGGGCATGGTGGCGCATGCCTGTAATCCCAGCTACTCAGGAGGCTGAGGCAGGAGAATCACTTGAACCCAGGAGGGGGAGATTGCAGTGAGCTGAGATCATGCCACTGTATTCCCCCCTGGGTAACAGAGAGAGACTGTCTCAAAAAAAAAGCAAAGTTGTATTGTATTCTTTTTATTTTTTTTCAGTTGACGAGGTATAGAACGGCTTTTTTTTTTTTTTTGGCCTTAATTCTTTTTATTGGATCTTTGGATTTCAGGTAACTATACTTATTGTCTGATCTGATTTTAATGAAACAGTATTGTTTACATTGTCTAGGAGACAGCATGCAGGCTGGACACAGTGTCTCATGCCTTAATCTCAGCACTTTGGGAGGATGGCTTGAGCCTAGGAGTTCAAGACCAGCCTGAGCAATATGGTGAGACCCCCCTCTCTACTAACAGAAAAAAAGGGGTGACATGGTGGCCTGCACCTGTAGTCCCTAACTAATTGGGAGGCCAAGGTGAGAGAATTGCTTGAGCCTGAGAGATTGAGGTTATAGTGAGCTATATATGTGCCACTGCACTCTAGCCTAGGCAACAGAGAGAGATCTTGTCTCAAAAAACAGTGTGCCTATGTCCACCATTAAGAATTTTAACCAGCTTCAGTAATATGTTATCTGTTCAAGGAAAAAGAAAACCCAACACATTAGGCTCAGACTTTCCACTTTACTAATAAGACATATACTAAATATCTTCTGGGGAAAATCTAGAGAATGTTATTCTACCAAAAGTTAATAACAGTCAATTTGAAGTACAGAAAAACTTGAAGGAAAATGAAAATAAACCAGACTTGAAAGATAATCAAAGAAAAGCCTAGAGGGAAGTTTTTTCTCCAGTCAAGAAGGATGTACTCAAAGCTTATTTAAAAGAGAGAGGAAAGAGCTATTAGAGTAAGAATAGTTGATATGAAAGAATATAAGAATCGTGTCAAGGGAGTGAGTCAGGCAAGGAAGATGAAGCATAAATGCCCAAGTGTTGTTAAGGGAGAGAGAAATTGAAAAATGAGTACAAAGAGAGGTAATAAGCTAGGAAACTTCAGACATCCCTGTGGTTACTGTCCGACCTACCCTCTGCGGGAAGACTGAGCTCGTTCGGAAAAAACCGGACCGCAGGCTAGAGGAAATTCCTTAAGTTCAGGCTTTATTGAGAGGAAAGAGCCTCCGGGCGGGCCAGCTGGGACGAAAAGGAAAAATGGCCGCCCCGCTCAGAGGGGCAGGGTTGTTTTATAGGGGGCTGAAGGGCTGGGGGGTGGGGAAGCCAAAAGCCGAGGTGGTGGGCAACTGTTGGTCAGTTTGAACTGCTGGGCGGGAAGCTGGGCGGCGGGAGGGCTATGGCCGGTATGTAAAGTGAGAGATAAGGGAGCCTCTTTGTGGGGGAGGGAAAGAGAGAGAGATTTTGCGGTAGGGGCAGAGTTTTCCAAACATTCCCGACTCCTTAAAGAAAAGAAAAAGAGGGGGTCAGGGGCGTCGGTTGTCTCTCTGGCTACTTCCTGCTGACAAGGGTCGACGGGGGGTTCTGAAGAGGTTTCTTTTCCTAAGGAGCCTGGAGGTTTGGGGAGAGGTCTGTTTCTTGCACTCGTTCAGGGTGGGGTTGGAGCAGCATCTGGTGGATGGTGACTCCAGTCAGTTCTTGAAAGAGCCGCTGTAGGAACTGGAGAAAGCAAGGAGCAATAAGTAAGATTAGGCAAACGGCTATTAGGGGCCCAAGCAATGGTGACAAGAGGGTATACATAGAGGAAGACCACCACGCTGTGGCTTCAGCCGAGAACTTCTGACTCTACAGGTTAGTTTTGAGTTTCTGGAGGCTCTCGATTCGGGTTTCTACTAGGCCGGATTCATTGATGTAGTAACAGCACTCTTCTTGTAGGAAGATACAGGTCCCTCCTCGTTCAGCAGTGAGCAGGTCCAGGGCTCTTCGGTTCTGCAAGGCAACTTGGGCAACTGAGGTGATCTGTCATTGGAGTGATGCTAAAGACTCAGTAGAGTCATTAATAGCCGCTTGGAGTTGTGAGGTCAGTCGGGCTATGGCCAGGTGAGAGTGGACTAGTGCCCCTCCTCCTAATCCTGCTGCAAGTGCTGAACCAGCAAGGGAGACTCCAACGGCAATGGGTAGGAAGGCAGCTCATCGGGTGCAGCGATGGGGAGTTTGCAGCATCTGGAATTCGGCTGGGGAATATATAGTGAGTCAAGGGACTAGGGTTACTGGGAGGCATAAAAGAGATGAGGAAAGGCCAATGTAGAGAGTTTTTGTTAAGGTCTTGTTACACCCGAAAAACGTTCCTCGTGGGGCTGTTATATTAGTGGTTACCCGTATAGTTCTGTTACAGCTAGGGACGTTTCGGCCTAGGGAATGTGGGGTTTGGTAGGGGATACTTGGGGTCCCATCACTAGGGACGTTTCGGCCTAGGGAATGTGGGGTTTGGTAGGGGATACTTGGGGTCCCATCGATTCCCATGACTAAGACCTGGGAAGGGGTGAGATGGCCAGAATAAGAAGGAAGAGCGGAGTAGGTAGCCCCCATGTCTTGTGACCCTAGGCTCGGCGAGGGTAACCGGAGTCGGAAAGCCAGGGCCCCGCTAGTCATCTAGCAGCCCTAGTAGACTGGGGAACGGAGCTCCCTCGGAGGTCGGCTCCTGGCAAGCAGGCTCCTCCATACTGAGGGTGACTGCCGGCTGTGTAACACCAGTGTGTCTGTTTTGAGGAACCGGCACCCTGGGGAAGCTGGGGCAGTCTGACTTCCAGTGTCCCGGGAGCCGACAGATAGGGCAAGGCTTAGTTGGTGGCCGTGGTTGTGGACAGGCTCGGGACCAGTGTCCTTCCTTTCCACATTTGAAACATGCCCCTGGAGGGGCATGGGTTTCGGCCTTGGGCTTCTGGTTCCCTGCCGGCCTTAGAGCCGCCACTAGGGCTTGGGTCTGGAGGGCAGCCTTCTGCTTCATGCGAGTTTGGCGGGCAGCCTCAGCCGCATCTTCCATGGCATTGAATACTTTAAAGGCCATTTTTACCAGGTCTTGGATGGGAGTCTCTGGCCCCTCTTCTGCTTTCTTTAGTTTCTTTCTTATGTTGGGTGCTGGTTGGGAGATAAAGTGGGAGGCTAATACAGTGGCCCCGTTTTGGGAGGCTGGATCCAGTCGAGTGTACCGGACTAGGGCTTCTTATGTTTGAGTGAGGTATTGGAATTCTTTAATATAGGTGGACGGGTTGGCTGAGAAGGATCCTAAACGTTTCTCAATTTGGGACAGGTCTTGGAGTGAGAAAGGAACATGGACCCTGATTAAACCTTCTGCGCCTGCTACTTCTCGGAGTGGGGCCAGGATAGCTGGCTGGTGGGAGCGGGTGTGGGCCGCCACCGGAGAGGCAAGAGGAAGTGCGGCCTCTGAGGGAGGGGGCTCGGAGGGAGTAGAGGGAGAGCGAGGCATGGCCTCTGAGGTAGGAGGTGCAGAGGGAGTGGGGGAAGGGCATGCCGTTGATGGCGAGTGGTTGCTGAGATTGGCAGGAGAGGACAGATGTTCAGGCAGATCCTCCGGTGAGGAGTAGGGAGGGGAGAGGTAGTGGAGGAAGATTTACGGGGGATTCGAGATAAGAGGATTTGGTAGGTGGAGCAGGAAGAACATAGGTCGGGGTGGGTACGGAGGTCCCAAAAAGCCTGGACGTAAGGAATTTCATTGTCCTTGCCCATGCGGCGACAAAAATCGTCGAGATCTCGGAGGGTGTTGAAATCAAAAGTGCCAGTCGGGGGCCAATGTGACTGGTTACTGAGTTTGTATTGGGGCCAAGCCACGTGGGACAGGAAGATAAGCTTTTTCTTTCTGAGGGTTTGGGAATATCCCAATTTGGTAAAATTCGCAGCAAGCACCCAAGGGGGGGTGCTCAGAGGTATTTTGGACTCTGAATTTCCCATGGCAGGCGCAGCTACAGACTCTCCGGCGCGGATGGGCAGATGCAACGAAAAGGCGTCCCCGTTCGTTGCAAATTCCCCGGAGTACAATTAAGTACGGAAAGGGAAGCGGTCAGAGGGGCGTCCCCCGTCTGGCGGCTGTCCCTCGGAAGGCTCCTGGAGCCGGAACGGAAGACTACCTTGGCTCGGCCGAGACTAGGCAAGGAGTCCGTGCGGAACGCCGGAGGGAGCAACTGCACCATGCCGTAGGAAGAGGAGACGGGAAGCGGGGGAAGGCAAAGCAAGAAAAACTTGGCTTACCTTAATCGGAAAGTGGAGGTGGCAGGGCCAGTGTTGGGTAGGTCGGGGAGGGGGGCCGTGGCCGGGCCAACGGCCTCAGCTCCCGTCCCGGGTTTCCGGCACCATTTGTCCGACCTACCCTCTGCGGGAAGACTGAGCTCGTTCGGAAAAAACCGGACCGCAGGCTAGAGGAAATTCCTTAAGTTCAGGCTTTATTGAGAGGAAAGAGCCTCCGGGCGGGCCAGCTGGGACGAAAAGGAAAAATGGCCGCGCCGCTCAGAGGGGCAGGGTTGTTTTATAGGGGGCTGAAGGGCTGGGGGGTGGGGAAGCCAAAAGCCGAGGTGGTGGGCAACTGTTGGTCAGTTTGAACTGCTGGGCGGGAAGCTGGGCGGCGGGAAGCTGGGCGGCGGGAGGGCTATGGCCGGTATGTAAAGTGAGAGATAAGGGAGCCTCTTTGTGGGGGAGGGAAAGAGAGAGAGATTTTGCGGTAGGGGCAGAGTTTTCCAAACAGTTACACATTAAAGAGAGTTCTTTATGTCCACATCTATCTCAGCCACTAGACTTTTAGCCCCATAAAGCAAGGTGCCATATCTTATTCATTCTTTTTTTTTTTCTTTTTTTTTTTTTTTGAGACGGAGTTTCACTCGTGTGACCCAGGCTGGAGTGCAATGGCGCAATCTCGGCTCACCGCAACCTCCGCCTCCTGGGTTCAGGCAATTCTCCTGCCTCAGCCTCCCGAGTAGCTGGGATTACAGGCACGCGCCACCATGCCCAGCTAATTTTTTGTATCTTTAGTAGAGACGGGGGTCTCACCATGTTGACCAAGATGGTCTCGATCTCTTGACCTCATGATCCACCCGCCTCGGCCTCCCAAAGTGCTGGGATTACAGGCTTGAGCCACAGCGCCCGGCCCTTATTCATTCTTGTGTATCCTGCAGCAGCTAGCTCAGCTCCTTGCTCATGGAAGGTGCTCAATGAATGTTGAGCTGAAGATGAATAAAAGTTACCTGCACTGTAGTGTCGGGGTCCGGCATGTCTGCTGGGGACTACCGACCTGCAGGAGTCCCCAAGACCGCCAACGTAGATGTCTCGTTCAACCTGAGGGAGAGAGTGAGTGGAAGTGAAAGAAAATAGAAAAGCGGAGTCTGGAGGGCTGGCTTAGGCTATGTCCAAGCAGCCATTTTATTTTTGCAATAGGTTTCCTTATATACTTTTCTGAAGTCAAAGTTGTTTACACCAGATCAATGTACTTAAGTTACAGTAAGCAAGTTACACCCACTAAGTTACATCCAGTAAGTAAGTTAATCCCATTAAGTAGGTTACGCCCAATAAGTAGGTTACTTTCAGTAATTAGGTTACGCCCAATAGATCAATGTAAGTAAGTTACAGTCACGCCCAGTAAGCTATGGAAAGTAAGTTACAGTTACACCCTGTAAGCTATGGTAAGTAAGTTACAGTTACACCCAGTAAGTTACCATAAGTAAGTTACCAAGTGTAAATACTTAAGTTAATATTTTACAATGAAGGTAACAAGGGTCCAAAATGAACACAAGCAATAAACCATAAGAAGCCGAAAGTGGATACATTGCCTCCCAAGTCCTCATATCCATAAAGTAATGTCTGTTAATTATTTAGAATAACATAGTCCCTCTCTCGGTTCCTGCTTTCCCTCAGCTCAACTCCCCCAACCAGGGATCTGTGTCTGGGCTCAAGCTCACCTTATGGCGAGGCCCATTTCCCAGGGGCCTCACACGGGAGCGATCCCCACAGATTCCCTCACTGTAGCTTACAGGCTCACTATGAAACAAAGTGAAAGGAACAAAGCAAAACAAATCTCAATAAATATATAGTGGCTCATTTATTTACTCTACAAATTCCTAGGGAGCACCATGTGCTGGAAAGGCTCTGTGGATAAAGCAATGAATCATATATGTTAGGATTCTGTTTTTCTTTACAGAAATATAACCCAGATCTTCCAAATTTAGCATGAGAAGGAGAATTTTCAGATGATCAGGAGACAGACCACTTGGTCCTGACTGTTTTCCCTGGCTTTCCCTTGCCACTGGGATCATTGAACTGATCGCCCTTAAGACAAACATAGCAGGGGCAGGAGGGTTATGTCTAGCCCTTTTGGCATCTGGCCCATGCATAGAAAAATGACCCTATTCTTGTTTCCTGTAGTACAACTAAAATAGTTTATTACAGATTAGGGGATTTAAAAAATGGCAACAAACCTGAATAATTGCATGAATTTGGATAATCTGGGTTAAAATTATTCCTTGCTCTCCAAAGCTCATGTGCTACCCCAAAGGAGAAAAAAAAGATAAAAAACCAAATCTGATTTGTGCCCTTCCTTCCTAGCTCTCTATTTGCTACTATGTGATGGATCAGGAGAGCCATAGTTAACAGCAATTACTTAAGAGTACACTTCTAGGCCGGGCGCAGTGGCTCACGCCTATAATCCCAGCACTTTGGGAGGCTGAGGCAGGTGGATCACGAGGTCAAGAGATCGAGACCATCCTGGTTAACAAGGTGAAACCCCGTCTCTACTAAAAATACAAAAATTAGCTGGCCATGGTGGTGCACACCTGTAGTCCTAGCTACTTGGGAGGCTGAGGCAGGAGAATTGCCTGAACCCAGGAGGCAGAGGTTGCGGTGAGCCGAGATCCTGCCATTACACTCCAGTCTGGGTAACAACAGCGAAACTCCGTCTCAAAAAAAAAAAAGTGGGCAAAGGATATGAACAGACACTTTACGAAAGAAGACATATATGAGGCCAACAATCATATGAAAAAATGCTCATCGTCACTGGTCATCAGAGAGATGCAAATCAAAACCACATTGAGATACCATCTCACGCCAGTTAGAATGGCGATCATTAAAAAATCTGGAGACAACAGATGCTGGAGAGGATGTGGAGAAAAAGGAACACTTCTACACTGTTGGTGGGAGTGTAAATTAGTTCAACCACTGTGGAAGACAGTGTGGCGATTCCTCAAGGCCTTAGAAATAGAAATTCCATTTGACCCAGCAATCCCATTACTGGGTATATATCCAAAGGACTATAAATCGTTCTACTATAAGGACACATGTACACGAATGTTCATTGCAGCACTGTTTACAATAGCAAAGACCTGGAATCAACCCAAATGCCCATTGATGATAGACTGGATTGGAAAAATGTGGCACATATACACCATGGAATATTATGCAGCAATCAGAAATGATGAGTTTGTGTTGTTTGTAGGGACATGGATGAATCTGGAAAACATCATCCTCAGCAAACTGACACAAGAACAGAAAATGAAACACCGCATATTCTCACTCATAGGCGGGTGATGAAAAATGAGAACACATGGACACAGGGAGGGGAGTACTAAACACTGGGGTCTATTGGGGGGAAAAGGGGAGGGCCAGTGGGAGGGGGTGGTGGGGAGGGATAGCCTGGGGAGAAATGCCAAATGTGGGTGAAGGGGAGAAAGGAAGCAAAACACACTATCATGTGTGTACCTACGCAACTGTCTTGCATGTTCTGCTCATGTACCCCAAAACCTAAAATGCAATAAAAAATTAAAAAAAAAAAAAGAGTACACCTCTAAACCTTCATGAATCCTTGACCTTTGGAGATCAAATCTCAACTCACATCAATTTTGAGCCTACTCACTTAGTAAAATGTTTCTGTCTAAGGGCTAGCCTCTTTCCTTGGCAACTGTCAACAAGACATAATCCTTCAGACAAGACTGTACTCTCAGATCTGAGGCTTTACTATTATGAACCCTTCAGAATAATTGCTTCACAACATAGTAAGATGAACATCCCTCCAAAAGATACTCACATGCAGTGATAGTATAAGTGGAAAAATTAGTTCCCTACCACGAAGGCACTATTCCCTAATTTCTTCTTTTAGTCCTAATTAGGGAAATATATATAGGAAAAAAAAATATGTATATATATATAATACACACACACACGTACACATATTTCAATATGGAGTTTTGCTCTTGTTGCTCAGGCTGGAGTGCAAGGGTGCAATCTCGGTTCACTGCAACCTCTGCCTCCCAGAGTTCAAGAGATTATCTCCCCTCAGTCTTCCGAGTAGCTGGGATTACAGGCATGTGCCACCATGCCCTGCTAATTTTGGTATTTTCAATAGAGATGGGGTTTCACCATGTGGGCCAGGCTGGTCCCAAACTCCTGACCTCAGGTGATTCTCCCACCTCCGCCTCCCAAACTGCTGGGATTACAGGCGTGAGCCATTATGCCTGGCCCCGTTTCTTTTTTAAAAAAATATTTATTTATTTATTTATTTATTTTAAGACTTAAAAGTTGTTGATTATGTCTAGATAACCCACCGAATTCCATATGCATATCATACAGAAGGGCAAAAAAATTTATGTACACGGGTCCAAAATGTGAACCCACACGTCAGCTCAAAGTACTCCACGAACGGAAGGGGGTTGTGTATGAAAAGGATACAGAGGGAAAGAGATGCCACCCTATTTTTTTTTTTTTTTTTTTTTTTGAGATAGAATCTTGCTCTGTCACCCAGGCTGGAGTGCGGTGACGTGATATTAGATCACTGCAACCTCCGCCTCCTAGGTTCAAGCAATTCTTCTGCCTCAGCTCCCGAGTAGCTGGGATTACAGGCGCCCGCCACCATGCCCAGCTAATTTTTGTATTTTTAGTGAGATGGGGTTTCACCATGTCGGTCAAGCTGGTCTCAAACTCCTGACCTCAGGTGACCACCCACCTTGGCCTTTCAAAGAGCTGGGATTACATGCGTCAGACACCATCCCGGTCCAAAGCCACTTTTTAAAAAAATGTCTGCCATATGCTGATAAAATTCTCACAACACTCACAAATATCATTTCCTTGAATCTTCAGAACTCTGATTTAGGAACAATTATGCTCATTTTATGGGTGTAGAAAACAAAACACAAAGGGTCTAAGTGAAGAAGACTTCATGTTTACTTACAATTATTGCGCTAAATTAGATTGAACTCAGCTTCATGAACTCAGTGGAGAGTTACTGTGAATTTACTATGTGTAAGTATTACAATGTATCATAAACAAAGTGGCATGCATTCTTTGACCTCAAATTACTTCCACTCTAGTAACAGAGAAGAAAAACACTCCACTAATGAGATTGTTCATAACAACTGAAATAATATTTTTAGATGACAATAGTGGGAGTGGAAGCAACCATCCAGTAGTTTAAAAAGTGAATGGCTGGTGAGGAAAAAAAGACAATGGACATGTAACCATATACTCCCTGGACATGTTTGTTCAAGTTAAAAATTCTCAAGTTCCTTTACAAATGAAATTTGCTCATTTATATTGAGTTATTCATTTAAAGACAGCCTTCGGGTAGGGACATTAATTAGAATCGATTGTAGCAGATCCAAATCTAGCACAGATCTCTACTTTAAAAGGGCCTGGGGTGGGGGTGGGGAGGAAGTAGGGAACAGCCTCATATGTTTCCAGAAAAAAAAAAATTGTTCCAGAGAGATCAAAAAGGAAAGGCATTTACAAAGGGAAGCGACATCAGAAGGTAAGAAAAGTATGACCAGAAAGAGAACAGCTGCTTTTGGTAATAAAAACTACATTTGGCAATATATTGTAGTGGCCAAGCACATGGATTTAAACATCAAAAAGACCTGTTTGGATCCTGGCTGTCCTGAAGAAAGTTACTTGACATCTTTGAGCCTCAGGCTTCTCATTTGTCATTCCTATGACAAATCAACACATCTGTATATCAGTCTGTTCTTACAGCCATGAGATTCACATTGCAGATACAAGAAAAAATTTGAACCTGTGTACATACATTTTTTTCACATCATGAGGAAAAATAATAATACTTTATATGGTGGTTATTAACGTTAAACAGGTAAACGTAAATCAAATGTCTTGGGCATCGTGAGCTCTCAGTAAATTGTCCCTATTGAGATTATTCAGTGAGTTAAGGAATTGTGCCCTTGAATTTAGTGAATAGTTGCTAATCCACTAGAGTCTTATGAATTCAATAGAATACTAGGCATTTTTTAAGATATATTCTACAACGGTGGTTCTTAACTCATGGATGTGGGCATTTTGAGAGT